TTGGCTATGTCCATCCATTACTTCTTTTTGGCTATCAATCTTTAATTGTTTTTCTTTAGTGACAAAGAAACAGATCGAGCCTTGCCCTTTGGTTGCACTTTTTGGACTTCCTTCACATGTCACTGATTTACCTGGAAATACTGCAAAGACGTTTGCCTTCTTAACATTATTAGCTAGACGGCGCATTCTCCTGCTGTGGAAACAAAAATTCCCTCCATCTTTCGATGACTGGATAAGAGATGTCATGAGCTTCATTCATTTGGAAAAAATTAGGTATACGTTAAAGGGCAACACTGGTATATTTTCTGAGATCTGGGATCCCCTCATTATTTTTTTTTTCCTGAATATGTCAGTACTTCTTCTTAGAGTGTGTCAACCTAAGCATTAAGATGTTAATATGACTGTGGCCCGAATCTGGTTAGGAGTCTGTGATTATATGTGTAGATACTTACGTATGTATATGTATATACTTTAAAGATGTAAGGTTTTGCTTGTGGAGGTATATGCATACATTTGATAAATGATCGAAATGTCTAAACTTTAATGCCCCAACATATATTCTATACTCGAGACATTAGGCTTGACGTTCTTTGTTTTACAATATGTATTTATTTTTCACTTTTAGTTTTATTTAGTTTGTTTAATTATACTTTAATACAGTTTTTTTTTTTCTTTTTCTTTTTCCTGTGCCGACTACAAAAACTAAACAGATTTGAGATTCTCTCCATTTAATTCCATTGCATTCTAGAAGAAAAGGCTGAGATATTAAAGCGATATTACTTGTGATTTTTCAGTAGTAGATAATCAGGTGAATAAATAAACCTACATATTTTCTCTTTCTTTAAAATTGTAACATAAATTATCAAGTTTAGTTATTCTTATTTCTTTATTGTAGAAATGCTAGAACTGGCACTGTTTTGGAGAGAAATGGGTTCTCATTTGAACCCATATCATGGTCTGTGATGCTGAACTATGAGTTTCTAATGGTGTTTGTATTTGCACTGTTCTAAACATTAATATTTTATGTGCAACAACAGCATGCGGTCTCAGTGGCCTTACACATGATTTTAAATCAATTTTTTCAAACTTTATGATTTAAA